GACTTCAACTCCCAGAATTCCCCAGCCAGGCTGGGGAATTCTGGGAGTTGAAGTCCACACATCATAAAGTAGCCAAGTTTGAAAAACACTGGTTTACAGGTTCTTTACAGAGGTGAAAGCTAGACAAAAGACTAAATATATTATTTACGGTAAGAACAAAGTGTACACATTTTAGGTCCTAACTAACTCCACAAGCATCATACGGGTAGCATAAGCCAACTGAAACTTCGCTCATTTTGGAGATGCCTACAATTGCAACAGAAAGCCAGAAGCCACTGATTACAAGGACAGGCCTGGCTTCATGGGAATGTCTGAGGGGCCTATTTTGAGTCTTTTCAGTACTAAACCCTCTACTGCTCTCTGCTCTGTCTTGTTATCAATTTAGTTGCTCATTTCAACTGGATACGACTACCTGCACCACACAGTTGCTCCTAAAGTAAGGCCATCATGAGGGGTATACTTCTAGAAACAGAACTGTCAACATTACTGTTTGCTATTTTCAACCTAGGTTACCATTTTCAGGTCCCTTGGAGTCTCTTATGAACTGTGTGCAATTGACAGCAAACACAAACAAGCTTTTATCCCATGAATCTATTGCATCTCCAAGAACTAGAAACACAATGGCCTGATCATTCATGCATAGGAAACTGTCATTCATTTGATTTCAGTATGATCGGTTTATCTGCTGAGAGCCTTTTCTGTTGTGGCATGTACCCGTCCTTTGGAACATCAATCCCCAGAGATTAGATTGGCCCTGACCCTACTGACTTTCTGTTAGGCCCTAAAGATGCAGTTCTGCCACCAGATTTGGGGATCCAGATGTGTGCTCCAATCTGTACAGTGGTTATGTTGATGGCTGTTGTAGGTTCTTTGTACCTTGACTGCTGACTGTATTGCAGTTCTTTATACGGTTTTATATCTTTTTTTAAATTGTTGTAAGCTGCCCAGAACCATATATTTGAGATCAGCGGCTAAATGAGCTGAAGTAATAAATGAATGAAAATGATAGCGTGTGCCGAATATACAACTCAACCTATATAATTGTACCATCCACTGTGTAACCCTTTACATATTCTAAAACTCAAGAAAACAATAAGCAAATGTGACTTACAACAACACATGCTCTATACCAGTGTTTCTCAACCGTGACAACTTTAAGATGGGTGGACTTCAACTCCCAGAATTCCCCAGCCAGCATGGGGAATTCTGGGAGTTGAAGTCACACATCGTAAAGTTGTCACGGTTGAGAAACAGTGCTCTATACTAAGGCCTGTCCTAGCAAAACAATTTTGGCACATATCAGGACATGTAAGCCAACTATAAATCCCAGAGATTAGTTTAGCCAGTGAATCTAAAACCTTTAGTGGTTTTTTAAAAAATGCTTTGTACTCTCAGAAGCTAAATCTTCTCAGGCTGCCTACGAACTTACTTAAATTAGAAGAAATCTGCTTTTAACCCACACCACCAAGAATATCCTTGAATTAACATTTCAAGAAAAACAATCCCAGATTGCCTCGAAGGAAAAGAAGGAAGTGAAGAAATCTCAAAGGTAGTGAGAAATCAGTTTTTCTTCACATGCTGCTCAGGAGGATATTCAGGAGAACTACTTAAGCAATTTTACATTTTAACTAATAAACAAGTTGGCTTTTAACTCAGGAGGACGTCCACCCCATGCAAAAACAGGGCAGGCATGGCAGATACACCAGAACAACATGCATAGCAAAGGAACTATGCCATAGACTTATTATTACCTTCCTTGTCTGATCAAGTCCTACAGCTTCCATTTGTGTTTTGCAATGACTATGCAAAGAAGCATCACAAGAGATGGTTAACCCTCCATGCCACCCTGGGACCCAGGCAAGCTTCTGCCAATGGACAACACACCTGTCTTTTTTGTTACCCTTGACTAAAAGAGCCCTAGTTTTAATGCTGGAAAAACTTCAGTTCTAGACGACGTCTTCTCATCTGTCGTCTTAAGGTTTATGGATGAAAAGGAATCCAATCTGAGAAAACGATAAATGAAGACTGTTCTTCTGTTCCTTTGTTTCTCCATTACATGGAACCAGTTCACAGCTTCGAAAAGTTATACCTAAAACACAATGGGAAAGACCCCCGATTTCTGGCTTCAAAGCTTATTAGCTGAGTCTTTTTACATCTTGGTCTATTGCCATACAAGCCTAGAACAACCTGGAATAATCCAGATACCAAAGAGGTCAGCACAAGCACCTACAGTCTTAAGAGCATGTTAGCGAGCAAACAAAATGTTTTAGAAAGAGTGGGTGGAACAGCATTTGGTGCCAACAGAAACAGGAGACAGGGTGTGTTCAGAATGTTAACCTTGGTACTCACAAGCTGCATTGTGCAAAAATAGTCCTGGACTTTGAATTATAGCATGCAAGGTGGTTATATATTCTATTCTAAAGAGTCAGTTTTCAAGGCT